ATAAATAAATTTGGAACGTTGCTGAGCACCGGGCGGGCAGCACCGACACCACCGACACCGACTTCACCCCTTTACCCGCACGACCATCACCACAATGCATACCCATCACCTGGCAAGCCAAACACAGGTGCACGAAGTTTTGTCTCCTCGAAGCAAAAATGAAACATTATTCGTTTCAATTTTAAATGGAACACTATATGCGTGAAAATCTGAATTCAATACGTTGAAAGGGTTAGTGAACATTAGTACAGTATGGCATTGGTTAGCAATAATAAAACTTTCAGGGCGAAGCACCATCACGAATAGGCGTTCTCCCACTCATCACAATCGTAATGATTTTGATGATGGCCCGAAAGTAAATGACTTACTTGGCCGGGATCGCAAGGAAGATGTAAGACCAGGCATAATAACAGTGATCTCGCACAAACACTTTCGTCAACTATCTGTCGCACACTCCAAGTGAGCTCGACAACAATTTCGCGCTCGCTTATGAATTGTGATGGTTGCCCCCTCTACAGGATGCGTGATTTGTGTCGCCGGGGCCGGTGATCTTGTGGGGGTCGTGGGGCCTCCGCGTCGGTCGCGTCGTCGCCGCGCCGGTGCCGTGCGTGCTGAGCGAGCGCGGGGTGAGCCGCACCGGCGCCTGCCGAGTCTCGAGGCACACTGACTGGGCTGGGCTGGCTGGATGGGGCGGGGCGCGGCATGGGGACCCACCACGGACGCGGGGCGAAAGGATCAGGCGCTGCAGCGGAGCGCCACCACCACCGCGAACTGGAGTCCCGCGCCCTGCGCCGCGGTCGCCAGGGTGGCCGCGGGTCGCGGGATCCGCGGACTGAAGAACACCCCCCACCCCCCACCCCCCCACACACACATCTGACACAGACATACACTACTGGCTCAGGCGCTGGCGTAAAGGGAAGTCCCTGCAAATCGTCCAACAACTTCGCGAAGTCGGAAAAAAAATTGGCGTGAGAGCGGAGACCACAGTGCAGGGACAAAGCGTAGATCGCATGGATGAGGAGTTGGGAGCAGGGCGAGGGGGAGGGGTGCGGGATATGGGGAAAGCAGTGAGTGACAGAATATCGCATCACTTCCCAAGCCGGGTCAAGCTTGTTCAACAGAATGCCTACACTGTGATGCAGTTTAATCTTCGTACCAATGGCTCTAAAATAAGTTTTTCAGTTTTCCATCAAGGTGGACAAATACAAGATCGCGCTCGAACATTAGTGCACGCGCCTTTTTTGATTTGATGAAAATATATTCGTGCTTCAGAAGCACGTCGAAGTTTTCCACGTTTTGTATCAACGCGGAGATGAAATAACACAAAATTTGGTGAAAACCATAAGCCGGCATGACGCCGGTAGATCGATATTTCGTTCTAACCCTCTTTGAAATCCGACGCTAACTTTTACGAGAATGATGATTTACCTCTTCCAAAAATACTTGCCAGCGACAAGAAGGGCCCTAACTTGATTACTCTCGCTACAAGTAAACTTATTTTGTATTTGTGTTTCGTGATTTAAATGTGCCAAGAGCAGGTCCAAACACGCTACTCCACTATTGTTTGTAAACATGTAAACAGATTCACTTAACTGTAACACATAGCTTTCTTACCTCTTAAAACTAGTCCTGTGATGACAATTTTTAACAGAGAGGAGGAGTACGGAGACTTCTGATTTAACACAACTCCTAAAACCACAACGACCAAGCCGTTTATAACAAATACATTTGCTTTGCTCACTAGCTCACTCAGAACAACTTAAAACATCGCGTCGGCTGCTGTGTGTCTATGTTGGGATGAGAAGCTAGGATATACCACTACAGCCCTTTTCACGTTTTAGGCATCATGATTGGTACGGGGCTGTAGCAATGCATTGTGGGTAATCACAGCAGAGTTACGTTGTTCAACCAAAGGAAGTGAGTTTTAATCAGCATATTACACAGTAATTACACAACAATAATGCTTTTTAGTTGAATAAATGTGTTTTGTGTTGAACGTTTGTACATATTACAGTCAACTATAGTTTCAGTTTTCCAATGCTTCTGTCCTCTAGCCTGTACCACACAGCGACCAATCAGAAAGCAGACGAAATTGTGAGTGCCTCCCATTCGTACTCAGCATCCACTTTTCACTATCTCTAGTCTCAACCTTGTCTTTAACACAGCTGACATCCCATCAATTTTCCCCAATCTCACCCGTATTTAGACTTTAAAATGTTCTGGGTACCTCCGTTCAGGGCTCTTTGGAGATATTTTGAACAAACAGGAGCTAGAAGAGGTAAGGAATTCACGAAGTGTCGTTGTTACTGTAGGCTCTTAAATATACTAACCTCTTTTCACAGTTTTTGTTGATTATCATATATAGATGTGGATTTTACTTAACACTTCAGCACTTTCGCAATTTGATACTTATTATTGTGTTCTTTTGTAGATCTGCCTCTATTGAAAAGAATGATGGTTGAAATACCTTTCCTTCCAATTGGATCTGTGGTAGCTGTTGGATCCATGGTTGGATCTTATGTCTATCTGAACTACATTTTTGAAGAGGGAATTGGCTTTCAAAAACATTTCACAGGTAAGGATTGACGCTTTACTCTCTTATACGATCTAACTTGCGCTTCTGTCAACATTTATTTGTTGCCTTCAAGGTTAGCAAATAAACGTCTGAACCTGAATATTGTACTATTGATACTAATTTTCCATCTCTTCCTTACAGTGATGCGATCAGATGATCCACGGATTGCATTGTACAGAGATGAAGTAATCAATGCTGAGAAGCATGCTAGCAAAAAATAATAATTATTAAATTAGGGTTGAAATATCTCACCTTGTATTTAGTTGTTTACAATCTCCTGTTTCTTGTATAATACTTAAACCAGGTCTATGATACTTCTTGAATTATACTGTTATACATAATTTATTGAGGACTTTACACATTTTTCATTTTCAATGATTGGCATTCTAAAGGTCCTAATCTGTCCTTCATTTTCAAATTTTTAATGTAGACACATATGTTGGTGCTTGGTTGTCTCACATAGCAGCAAATTCAGTTGCTGATTATGAGTTAAAGCTCACAAACTTTTATAAGCTTCTTCCCTTATGGTTTGCTTTGAAGGGTAAGATGCTCTCTGATGGCCACCTTAAGAATGGGCCTGCCCAATGATGGCCACCCCTTTTTCTTGTAATGTAGACAACGATGTGAAGAAGTTTAGCTTATATGCCCAAGTAGGGACCTTACTGGAACACTACTTCAAGGCCAAGATAGTAAAGTGATCAGATTGGCTGGAAATCGAGAAAAGTGGCCATCAATGGGACAGTGGCCACAATAGGGCACCTTACCCTATCATATTGTTTATCTGATAAATATTTATCAATATGCATATAGTATATGAGCAGTCATTGAAAAAGTAAACACACAATATTGAGGTATTGAGAGCATTACTGTAGTTTTAATACTGTTGAACAAATACATAGAAAAACTGCTAAATCAGTAAATTCCAACTCCAAATTTTCAAATGTCTGTCTGGTTCACTCTTAAAAAAAGCCAAGATCTTAAATAAGAACACAATCTAAAAGCACTTAACCATAGTAATAATACCTTAATTTTAGTTTCTGTTAAGTTCATGACAAATTTAAATCTCTTAACACCACATGATCAGTCCTGACATGTGAAAGGAAACAAATCTTGAAAGCACACCTGACACACATCCAAATTGCTCTCTTCAGCAGTATCTTGTTTTGTAAGGCACTAGTACAGACATTTAAACACATCTAGAGATTTTGAAAGCCAAAACATTTTTATACAAAGTATGTAAGTGTGTCAAATAGGTAGTACCCTACAAGGTAGACAGAGCTTGGACAAATAATGATTCCTAGAACCACTCTTTTTCCAAGTTCATCACATGTATTTTGAAAGCAACAATTACATCATAGTAAAGAAAAACTAGGTAATAAAGGACAAAGGGCATCATCGATTGAAAAAAATAGATCTTTTCAAATAAAAAATAATTATGTACAGAATTGTCAAAAACAAGAAAAAAATAAAGAAAAGAAGGAAAAACAACCACTGGTGACACTTGAATACATAGAGTCATGCAAGGCATTCTCTATTTTATACTTATTTCTACTTTGTACATTAGGAAAAATTAAAACTTAGACTACAGATAAGACTGTACCAGTCACTAATCATTAAAACCAATCAATCTTCTAAATGTTGCCTTTGAAAGAGTGTTGATAAATAGTGGGGAATTATTAGTTCATGAAAACACTAAAGTGGCGGGTAAGAACACAAAAATATTAAAACTTCACCAATAAAACGGCTCATGAGGGGAAATCTCTGCTACACCATTCACAGATTCTTCTAATTTTAATGGCAAGTTAAAATGATATGTTTAAGATGACAAAAATTAATTTGGTACAGTCCTCCAGCTACCTATCAATGGTAAAATATGAAAAGACTACAATAGATGAACTAGCTGATTTGGCAAACTATCCATGAAAATTATTACACTTATTTGTAAACAGTTAATGAAAAATTACATCAACTGATAGAACAACTGTATACTAGAACAATGTTTGAGATGTAATTTATTGCAACTATGTATCAAATTTAATTTCAGTTAAAAAACGAAGCTTCAACAAGGTGACCAGGCATGGTTATATAGTTCAGGAATGTTTCTCATTAGCAGAAAAAAAACAGTACTTTCTCAACATATCTTGTAGTACATAGTAAATACATAATTTTCAACACTCTCATAGTTTACAAACAAAATGTAACTAAAATGAGATCACTGGTAATAAAAAAACAGGGAGAGTTAAAAGCAGAAACTCATGGAAGTGGACAATAGTAAGTAATTATGTTCACAACAGAAGAACCACCCTTGAAATAAGAGAGATATCTAAAGAAAACAGGCAGACGCAATGCAATAACCAAACTTCCAAGTTTAGATCCCCAAAACATTAGAACTATAGAACTAAAAAAATATAAAAAGGAAAGCAACTAAGAGAGCACAGGCTTACATCACAGATAATGATACTGCCAACACCAAGTTGACAGTTCAATACTTCCTAAAATACAATCATAAAATTTAACAACAAGCAAGAAAATTTAAACAAAATAGGAAATGGTATACTGGTCCAGAAAACTACATATAGCTGACAGTAAAGATAGTTTTTTAGATAATTTTTGTCAGAAAAGATATTTAACCTGTGATTACAGATCAAAATTACAGCAGTGCAAAGTGCAAAAAGAGGTAAAATAATACCTCTGAGGTGAAGTCAATGAAAATTATGGATGAGCAAATTCATTAAAGCACATTCATTAATTTATAGTAATGGTGATGATGGTGGGGGATGATGATGATCGTAATGAAAACTGATATTCCATATCACTGGCACTACCCCAAAAAGAATGATGTTTCAACAAAAAGTTTCCATTAAGTGGAGAAGACAATTTAGAAGTACAGTAAATTGGCAATATACAGACATAATAGAATACAAGAACCCTTGTTAAACATATACATATATGGTAGAACATTCTGGTAAATGAAAGGCAACCTTCAAGTTTATGCACAAAAACAGTTGTACTGTTTGGCATTCAGATTTTTTGATTTGTTCCAAGATTTGTCCACTAATTAACCAAACAGTTGAGACCAACATAAAACAAAACATCCATACACAGCCCTCAAACAAATAAAAGCACCTAGACACAAAATACAAAAACCTTTAAATATGCTCCATACATTAAAGTGTTTTCACCGAAACTTTAAGAAATTGATTACAGAATTAGTTCATTTTTTGTTTTATAGGTAAGCTATAAATTCTGAGAATGATCTGTAAAGTTGACATTACATCAACAACTTGTGAAATATCATATAATTTCTTCCCAAACCAACCAAAACAGAACAAGCAACAAAATAGGGACTGGAGTAAAAAGATGCAGAGGGAAGAGATACCGAGGAAGAGATACTTTAACTTTTTTAATCTAAGATCTAGATCAAAAATTGCACAGTTCTCCTGGGGCATTGTATATGTGTACCTTCTGAAGGAACAGAAAATTACCATGATTCATATCAAGCTGTTTGCATTTGCAACCCTTAAAGGTAATCGGTACATTATCAATTAAAAATTGAATGGGAACCCGTCCCCGTCATACCCTCCAAGGTGGGCATCTAATTCTCGGAAAATGTTGTCCTACAAAGAATGGAAAAAATTTTTCATTGTAGGCATTCAAGAAATAAAGCAGTATTTTTACGTAGAAGAGACTATACTCACGTCATCGTCATCTTCATCGTCATCAGGTGGTAGAGCAGGGCCCCCACCCTTCTCATCTTCATCGTCATCGTCTTGGAGTGGCTTTCGGCCGTCGTCCTCGTCGTCGTCATCATCATCATCTTCAGCCTCCCCTTCTCCATCATCGTCATCATCATCGTCGTCATCATCAACATTGTCTTCTTCATCCTCCTCATCATCTTCCTCCTCTTCCTCATCTTTTTCATCCTCTTCAGTTTGCTGTACCAGAAAAAAAATAAAAATGTGATGTACGGTATGTAAACAATTTACATTAATACAGTATAACCAGGTTATAGTGTTCCTCTGTTACATGTTTTCCCACTTACAAGATTGCAAATCTAAACTCTTATTAAAAATGAAAACCAGGTAGCTGGTAGCTGATTGACCCAGCCCACATTTATAGGTATACTGTACCAGATGTGCAGGCGGATTGCCTATTCCCTCGGGGCTATAAGGCACTCTGGTCGGTCAGTGCAGATAAGCAAATACGCCCGCATTGTAACTACAAAAGTGGGCAGGATCAATCAGCCACCTGTTACAAATCATTCTGTTTTTGATGTTTTTCAACACACAATGAACAAAACAATTTGTAATTCTAGAGCAACAACTCATTGCTAGGTTTAACATTCTCGTATTTAATATACAGATACTATATTCAAAAGGCAAAGGTAACATTGCAATAAATACCTTGGTCTCTTTCTTAGAGTTTTCACTCTTTTTCTCCTCTTCCTTCTTTTTGGTGTCAGCAGTTCGAACCTAGGAGAAGAATGCAGTTGCATAAAACTGGCTAACACAGTGCAAGAGTTCAAACCTAGTTCACTTACATTAACTTTTGCAGGTTGCTGTGGTTTAGATTCCCCTGGTAGATCAATTTGGCCCTTTTGTCTTCGGAATCTAACAATGATACTACGAGAGTCCAAAACAAGATTGTGGTTTTCTTTATATGCTTTTATAGCTTCATCTACTGAATTGAATCTGATGAAGGCATACCTGTATGAATTCAAATTCGTAGAATAAAATCTTGCTTTATACATAATGTGTTTATAATCAAATAGAGTCACCATCAAAATTAACTTGTTGAGCCCCACGTATCCACACATGTGGCCATAATACATGAAAAAAGAACCCCCCTCAGACTTAACATGTTAACTTATGCAAGATGCTTTACCTTGTATATCGCATTCGCTGAGCAAAACCTACATCAACTCTCGCAGCCTCCGGAAACTTCTCTTTGACAGTTTGGATGTTCACATTGGTTGGTAGATTACCAATATACAATCTGGCAATTATCAAAAAGTTAATAATAAAATAATATAAAACATCTGTGACAAAATATTATTACAGCACTTACGTATATGGATCAATAGATTCTGGAGATGCTTCTTCCTCCTGTTTTGTACTTTTTTTCTCGACAGATAGATGTCCAGAACCAAATTTGATATTTTCAAGAACTTTTATAACTTTTTCAGTATTGACATCTGGTGCTAGCTGTACAAAGCAATATCTAAGCAGGATAAAAAGGGGGAATATATAAAAGGGAAAAATTAAGTAAAGAAAAATCAGAAGTTACCACAAATAAGTCAAATCTAAAAACATAGCAAACTAATATTTACCTTGGACCACTTGGGACTTGAAAATGAACATTCATAATTCCAGGATGATATGCTTTCACAATGTCACGAGAAAGTTCAGGATCAGGGAATCTAATAATTAAGCTCTCATTTTTTAGATTGATTGTGGTTTCTACTTCTATTTTTAATGCCTTTTCAGCATCTTCTCTATTCCAAGGGCGACTAGGGAAAGACTGAACTACTGCTCTCTTCCTTGTTTTGGATTGAACTTGCTTGTTATCAGCCTGTTATAAGAATTACCAGTTCCAATTAATTACATGCAGTGAAAATATTTAGTAAGTTATGAGTGCCGAGGACACTAAACATACCCCAAGTAATACACCTCCTTTTTTGTTGGGACCGGTTTCATTTGTAGTAGTATCATGAGAGCTAGATGATTCTTCCTGTCTTTTCTTGTTTTTTGATTTTTGATGGTGCCCCTGATGTCCACCCTGATTTCGACCTCCATGTTGGTTTCCCTGAAAGTAAAAAAAAACACATTTAAAGCATGAGGTGAAAGAAATGCAGAGGATTGCTTTTAATTTGAATGCTTACTTGATGACCAAACAAAGGTGGAGGGCGAGGTCCAAGGTGGCCTCCATAGTACCCTCTGTGTGGGGCGTGGAATGGTACTTGAGGTAACAAAGGAGGAACCCCCATATGCCCTGGATGACCCATATGAGGGTGAACCATTGGCCCTGCAGCGCCAGGTGGAGGACCTGGTGGAGGCCACTGATTTGCACGGAATCCTCTCATTGGCAGGCGTCCTCTCTGATTCCAACCACGACCTTGTCCAGCCATACCATTATGCTGACCAAAGCGACCAGGGCCCATTGGGTATGAGGGAGTTTGGTATCCACTTTGACTAAGTGCTTCATGCTTAAAACCAAATTGTTGCATTGGTCCCTGAGTTGGGGGAGGAGGTGGCGGAATACATAATGATTCATAAGAATATTGGTTGGGCGATATGTATGGTTTAGCAGGACTTGCACCAATCCCAACACTGTCACGGTTTTGTTGAGCTAAGACTGGATGTTGCTTATTTAACGAAGAAATATTATCTCCGTAACTGGACTGACTTGATGATTGTGTTTTTGAAAAAGTGCTATTCCCATCACCATAGCCATGATGTTTCACTGAACTCCCTCTGCTTGAGGAGTTGGAATCATGTATTTGATTAACAGTAGCAGTAAGGAGTTCGCTAAAAGAGGCTTGCTTCTGAACGGCACCATAGTCGCCGTAACTAGACTGCTTTGTGGACCCCGATTTAGAATCAGAGTACTCTAATTGTTTGGCTCTTGAAATATTCAGACTTTCACCATAATTTTGTTGTTTGGATGGCATTGCTCCACTGGCTTCATCAATGCCATTTTCAAGCTGAAAATAAAGATATAGTTCCTATTAAATAAGAACAGTAATATGTCATCAAAGAAGTGTTAGAGTTACAAATAAGTATAGCACAATTGATTACAATTGTTTGAACTAAAATATAAGGGACGAAAATCTTGTCAGAGAGGAATTATTAGAAAAGCATTCAATAATGTTGAATATAACCACAACAAGTCTAGGTAAAGGTGATGCATGATGTGGAAAATATCGGAATTTGCTGTAGTAGCGATTCATAACATTTACCTTCCGCTTAGAATTAGATGAATTGAACCTGTTCCCATTCGTATACATGTCGGCAATATAGAATTAATTGGGAAAATAGGGTAAAACTGTATCGTTAGCACACACACACACACTATCACAGTGGGCCGACCGACACTTTACAGATGAATGTTAAACATAATGCAACCTAGTTTGTATCAGCAGGTGAACGTAGTCGTTACCCGCTTTGAACATTAAAAATTCAAACGAATACGAACAACATTGATTAAGTTGCAACAATGAAAACTAAATTCACGGTTCGGTTTATTATCATCACAAAAGGTTTCGCGCGTTGCCTGCTATAGTTTTTTGGTGATGTTCGCAGACTCGACTTCCGCTCTCTGCCGCCTATCAAATAGCACGTGACTTTGCTTCCCATTTCGAGCGGGAAATTTTAATATAAAATTTTCAATGCTTAATTCCTATATTATTTATCGATTTGTCTCCTAAAGCTAAGATGTAAATGAATTATGCTTTGGGTCGTATCATCGTATCGGGCACAAATTTGTATGCAATCTCACTCTCAAGTTTGAGTTGTCGGTCGGTCGGTCGGTCGCTTCAAAGGTTGTCGGCCTGCTTTTCGTGAACGGTTCCGTTCCGTTTGGCGCGGTTTCAGTGGAGGGCATTTCGATGCGAGGGTGTTGTATGTGTAGCGGTCTCAACAGTTCTGGTTCTTTCGCAGCTTCCTCATTTACTTGAAATGTCGGATTCTATGGAAAAATGGAAGCAGGAAAGAAGAAAGCTTTCCTCAGCGCTTGGTGCTTCAGCGCTACCAAGTCGCGCGAGAGAAATAAATTTGGCACAATCTACTAAGGTTTGTTGAAGGAGCTCAGTATGACTTGACCCATTTGACCGCATGCAACAAAATCCTTCATGTCATTTATTGTAAATTTTCGAAACTGTGGTTGGGCACTTTTACCTACACCGCGAAAACTTACATTATAGTGAGCCCAATGTCAAAATTTTGTCATTTTGGAGGCCTGCTTTGGTTTCAAGTCACCTTGCAGGTCCTTGTTATAACATGACAAAACCTTGACAATTCTATTTCCTCTGGAATATTTTGTCCTGGACTATGCTAATATGGGTGAGCTTATCGAAAACGTTATTATATACTTCAGTATTTTAATTTTTGTGTTGTGCAAATGTCTTTAGGTTGTTCAAAAAGAGACCAAATCTCTTACGGGGAATGAGGGTGAAAAATCGCAGAGAGAATCTGTTTCTCTGTCACAGTCCTTGGATTCATTCTCTTTAAGAGTTCAGGAAAACAAAGCAATAATACAGTCAAAGGTAAACGAGCTAAATGGGTTAGTTAGTTCATGTGGACGGCAGTCAGACAAGATTTGTGAATGCCGTCTTGGCGTCAATCAGAGCACAATCAAGATTACCAATGATGCAAAACTGAAAGAGCTTTTTTCAACTAGGTATGAAGACTTAGGTTTGAATGAAATAACTGCAAACATATTGATGAGTCATTTTTATAGTATGCTTATCATTTTGGTTTACATTTATAGGTACAATAGGGCATATCAGATGATCCATAAATTGTATTCCAACTCTAAGTGTGTTACTGATTCACTTCACCAAGTAGCTGCTGTAAGAGAGACCTTTGGATCACGCCTTGATGAAATGAAAGTTAAAGCAGAGGAGATGAACAATTATTTGAATGAAACTAGCTCAGTAAATCTTAAGGGTTATGAAAAATGCTTAATGTGTAAGTAATTTTAACTACTATATCCTACACTCTTATTTCTTAAGTCTCGTTAAATGCCTTTATCACTCAATAAAATCATCCATTTAATGTTTACAGTGCTCAAGCTAGAAGAGAAAAACATAGAAGATGATAATGTTGGTACTGAAAATTGGATAAATTCTTTCCAACAGCAAAGTTACAATGAAAAGATTTTGAAAAGAGAAGAGGACACTGCAGACGAAGAATCCTCTAACGACATACACTCAAAAATTCTAGAAGCCAAAAAAATATCTGAGGATTTGTCTAACCATTCAGAAAAAACTCACATGGAAAAGGACGAGGTCAGCTGCACACTTTTCTCAATCTAATTAATAGACAATCTCATCCTACTTCTTATTTTTAAATGCATTTTTTTTAATGTGAATGTTCTAGCAAAAGCACTGCCTTCAAAAGAAGTTGGAACTTGTGAAGGGAAACTTCATAACTGTTGAGGAAGATTTAGTGTCTCTTCAGCAAGAATACGAATCAACCAATACCGAAGTCTATTCCCTTCAAAGTGAACTAGCAGAGTCTGGCAAGAGGTTTGTTCCACATGTTTCACATTTTTCATTTTTCTCATGTTTCACTTGCTTACATAGTCCAGGGTGGCCACGCAACCTGGAAGTCAGGGAAGTCAGGGAAAAGTCAGGGAAAAAAATATTGGTCAGGGAAGTCAGGGAAAAGTCAGGGAAATTGAACGTTGGTCAGGGAAAATTACTGAATCTTGCTCGAAATTGTTATTTTCAAACTTTCGGTGGCATTTTCAATTGTTGGGGAGGCAAAAAGTTCCACTTAAAATACCTTTAAAAGTCAGGGAATTTGTGTAAAAAGTCAGGGAAAGGTCAGGGAAAAGTCAGGGAATTTGATAGCTCCGATTGCGTGGCCACCCTGATAGTCCTTATAACAACTATGTTTTTCTGTTCAGAGTGGACAAGATTCAAAATGTCATTGAACAACTCCAAGGGAAAACAGATGACCTCAAAGAATCCCTATCGCAGAGCAACACAGAACAGAAAGATATTGAGGCGCAGTTAATTTTGGCAAGAGACACCTATGGGACTCATATTGCTGAAATAGAGGAAACTAAGTAAACACAATAACAGCAACTTTTCTGAGTTTCTGTCTTGAAAATTTTAGTTATGTGTTATGTTTAAATATTTTATTTTTCATGTTTTAAGAAAGCAGCTTTCTGATGAGAAAAATAGCACTGACCAGCAGGTCAAAGTTTTAGAAGAGGAACTGCTGACAAACAAATTAGCATTAGTTGAAAGAAAACAATCTTTACAGGAGGCTCTTCAAGCAACAAGATCAAAAGGGTCTGACATACTCCTGGAGGTATTTACATACTGTGAAACCTGGATTGTAAGAATACCTCCTTATAAAGTAACAGAGGATTCATGTCCAATTTATTATAGTTGTACCTTGTACCTGGTTATAACAAATACCTGGATATTAAATACTGAGACCTCAGTCTCGAACAATCCTTACTATCAAGATTTCACTGTATTTGCATTTCATCTGAAAATTTCAAGATGAGCATAATTGTGAATTAAACATTTAAATTTTTTGTTTTTATTTTTAGGAAGAAAATTTGCAGAGTGCCCTAGTGCAATTACAAAGTGACTTAGAAACTGTTCTTTTAGACAGAAGTCAACTTGTAGAGGCCAACAGTTCTTTAGAAAACTATGTAGCCACCATTGATAGTGAAATCCAACATCTGACAAAGTAAGACTTTACAGTACGTTTTGAACTGTTTTGATCTTCTTTTAATTTTATTCGCTATTGCAGGGAGGCAGAAGAGCAAAGAAGATCTATCGATAATGAAATACGTACCACCAAGATTCTAGAACAGAGTCTCACTACAAGCAAACATCATCTTGAGGAATCACTATCTGAATATAATCACGATTTAACAGTGGCAACCAATGAAGAAAGTTGTGCAACAGAGGAACTCAATGCTGTGGAAACAGAAGATCAAGAGCTTGTTGCTAAAATTCAAATGCTCCAGAATGAGATAGCTGAATCTCAGTTAATGACAACTCAACAGCATAATTTAATCACAAAAGAATTAAAAGAGAGAATTCTGAAATTGCAAGGTGAAGTAGAATCTGAAAGCAAGAAAAAAGAAGTGCAGTTAAACACATTTGAACAAAAAGTAGAACTTAAAAATGGCGACATAATGAAGGCAAATGCACTGATCAACAGTTTACAAAATTCAATTTCTTCAAAAAATCAAGAATTGAAAAGAATTGAAATCGCATTTAAAAATAAATTAGATGAAAAAAGGAAAAGTGAAAAAATTGTTGTAAAAAGTCAACAAGAGATTTTAAAATGTGAAGAAAACCTTCATGACAATCACAAAAAGGGAGAAGAAATGACATTAAAACTACAGGACATGGATCTTAAAATGGAGAGTCTCGACAAGAATATAGATGAGCTACAACTTGTGCAGAAAGAGAAAGAAACACTTCTTTCATCATCATTAAAAGATTATGATAAAGAAAAACAGGTAACTTTATTTTAATTTTTTAAATAGCAGGTTTGGAAGTTTAAATTTATTTTGTTTGGCATGTCTTCTCATCATTGGTTTTATTTGTTGTCTTCACGGCCATCAATATTTTGTAGATCTTGCTTCGAGACACGTTTAACTATAACTCAACTGCTGAATGCTGTGCTGATGAAGCAAAATTATTGAAGAAACAATTGATTTCTTGGAAAGAAAAACTTGATAATGTGCAAGGTGAATCTGTAAAGGTGACAGGAATGATAGAATCACTCTCCTCAAGCATAGAAAATTTCAAAATAGAGGTGAATGATCTTGATAGAAAAAAGCAAGAGCACTTGAAGAGAAGTTCAGTTCTTGCCAAAGACCTTAGACAAGTTGAAATAGAGACTTCACATATCAAGGCAAAATATACCCGCCTTAAAAAAAAATTTGATGCTCTAACTGCACTGAAAGCACAGGTAAGATTTTGGTCATTGGCAAAATGTCCTATAAAGAATTTGGTAAACTATAAAATTTTGATACTAATAAAAACTGTGTTACTTGTCTAGAAGAAAGAAGCTGCAGCTGCAGCATCTCAAATGATCACTGAAGGCACCTTTCAGGTTGCAACAGCTCAAGGTGAAGTAACACCACAGTTTAGTTCATCTAGTCGAGGTCCGGGAGAGAGTACCGGGGGAAAGGATGATACTCCAAAGTCCATCTTGAAAACTCCTTTAAAGTCTTCCACACCCCAGGCAAAGAAACATGTAAAATTTGTGGACGATGCTTCGGAACTGCCAAGTTCTGGTAGTACTATAATAATGGGAGTAAGTAGTCAAGTGACATTCATGTATTATCCCCATAGTGAGGCAGGTAGAATTGCTGTATACTACATCTTTGGTTTAGTATGACTTTGCTGATGAACAGGAGGCAAACCCTGATAATAGATCTCAGATATTAACTCAACACAATGATCGTAAGAAAGCAGAACAAGTTATATTGAAGACTCAAAGCTCTCTTCAAACAGATGTAGTACCACCACAGGCAAAGAAGGTAGTGTGTTTAGAAAAGAAGTTTTCAAAAGAGTCATAATATTAAATCATACATAATCACTAATTTTATATTGTCTTATTTCAGAGGAAAATTTGTGAGGCTGGTCCAAGCACTTTCAAAATTCCAGAATCAGCTGTATCTCAAAGGGTTGCTGCTCCACAACAGCCCATATTTTTTCCAAATAAGGATAGTAAAAATAAAGAAAACAAGAGTTATTTGGATGATGACAATAGCTCTACAAGCTCTATCATGATGGCGGTACAGAAACTAATTCCAACCACACTTCAAATTAAGTTTTCTGAACATTTTTCTTACTTTGTGGCCATTTTACAGGATTATGCTGAGGAGCTTGAGAAAAACCCTTACTATATCCACACAATTAAGGCTCAACAACAGGAGCAGAGAAGCTCAAAGAAGATGAAAATGGTAACAAAAAACACTTATGAAAATACAAATTTAGTACGTGGCAGAAGTTCAGTAATTTATCTATTTAATCGATTTGCAATTCTTCTCAGAACATGTCTTCTAGTGCAGTCACAAAGGAACTTACCACCCCATTGCAAGAAATGGGCGGTGAGAATGAAATTTCTTCCTCCACTCCAGAATCTCAGATGGATTGGCTCAAGTGATCCTTCAGTTTGTGACCTCGCATAGACAGCAACCTTTATTAAATTTCATT